TGGCTTTAAACTGAAATGAATGTTTTTTTTGTATAGTTGAACTTTCATACTATCTTAAAACATTCATAACTTTTTAAATTTTTTCCGACTGATGATAATCATGGTCGCAATGTTTGCATTCTATGTGATTTGCAAGATTAATAAGTATTAACATATTTGGGTTAATCATAATGCTTAATATCTGCAAGCAGAATTCATATATATTCCAATAATTTACTTATCCATATAAATATTACCTAATTCTATTTGATTTTATGCATAGATTTTTGATGTCGTGTGTGCAATAACTCCATAATGTTCTATCATTTTATTTTTCTGTTTGGCTTATATAATTATCCTGAAGTTGTTTTTTTTCCTTCTTACAAAATAACAATAAATTCTTAAATGTGGTTTACGTTTAGTCAAAACCAGTTTCTAAATATGTGTCTCTTACAACTATAATAAATCCTCCTCCTGTTTTTTCATAAACGTTTTTTTGTTTTCATTCTTTTTTAACGGTGAGAACAATAATGATATGAAAGCCATGGGTCATAGTAACAAAAAAGCGGAAGTCTTATCTAATTAATGTCATGTCTTCTTGTACCTTATAAGCTACTGTTAGTGCACCTGATATAACTACTTTTAATTTCACTACTCCTCAATAAGAAGAAAATACTAGAGAAAATAAATCATTTGTTATTGCAGAAGAAAAGTTAAAAAATTGCTGTTTGTAACACCGCATTTCCGTAATATATGCTTTCGCTTAACGGGCTTCCGTGTCTAGTAGCAGTATATCACCAATATTCCAAGCAAGAACCTTGGTATATTAACCATAAAAAAGGAAAAAAAGGTAAATCATAGTAGTATACTATCCTTAGTGCTTAAGAATATGTCAAGTTCCCTCTTAAAGGACTCCTACTACGTCTCTTGCACTAGTTCAGCGTACTCCAGCATTCGATTACTCTTATATGGTTGGAGTTGTGTCTGCCATCAGCTCTACTGTGTTCTGTTTCCAGTTTTTTGGGTTTTACCCCTTAGGTTTTCATTATCTACTTGGTTTCTCGTGAGTTAGTAGAGAGATATTTTGACAAGGATACATAAATGGCTTGCCATGTAAACTGCGGTGGTCTTAAAATTGGCATACACATTTTACCTCTTAGAAATGTAGATGTAAATAAATCGCCAGAATAGATAGTCCTCGAAATTGATGCTGAACTCATTAGTTTTGATGATCATAACCTAAGGCTCACGTTCACATATCCGCATCAGAACAAGAGTGTTACGCCGTGCCACGCATCCATCGTAACCACTAAACAGCTTAGATCCAACGATATTTGACGTATCGATGACTTCAAAAATAAATCTTCGAAGATTTTCATTGTGCTTCAGTTATTAAGATGCATAGTTTAAGAGAATAGTTCAGTTTTATGCGTTACTTACGCCTGTTACTCCCAATGAAGCATAGGCCACCGACCAGCATTCTCCAACCCACTCTGTTCTGCGCCTTCCTTTCTACTTCTATCCGATTGTTGTTCATTCTTTTCATGTCCGTCTCCGTTTCTCGGCATAATGTGTTCTTTGATCTTCCTCTCCTCCTTTGGCCTTGAGGATTCCAAGTGAGGGCTTGCGTTGTGGCGCAGTTGGTTGCTTTCCTCAATGTGTGTCCTATCCACTTCCAGCGCTTCTTCTTCCACTGGAATCTGGTTTGTCCTCTCCCATAGTAGTTTGTTGCTGATAGTGTCTGGCCAACGGATTCGAAGTATTTTGCGTAGACAGCTGTTAATAAACACTTGTATCTTCTGAATGATGGCTTTAGCAGTTCTCCAGGTTACCGCGCCATACAGTAGAACTGTCTTGACAGTTGTATTGAAAATCCTGACTTTGGTGTTGGTTGACAGTTGTTTTGAGTTCTAGATGCTCTTTAGTTGTAAATATGCTATTCTTGCTTTGCCAGTCTGCGCCTTCACATCTGCATCAGATCCACCATGTTCATCAGTGATGCTGCCCAGATATGTAAAGGTTTTTACATCTTCCAAATCTTCTCCGTCAAGTATTATTTGATTGGTGCATGTTATATCGTATCGGAGAATCTTGCTTTCCCCCTCCTGTATGTTGAAACCTAATGCTGTTGAGGCTGTTGATACACTGGTCGTCTTCTGCAATTGTTGTTGCGTGTGCGATAGAAGAGTCATATCATCTACGAAGTCTAGATCGTCCAGCTGCATCCTAGACGTCAACTGTATCCCATGCTTCCCCCGAGATGTTTTCGTCTTCATGATTCAGTCGATCACCATGAGAAAGAGAAAGGGTGGGAGTAAGCAACCTTGCCTGACACCGGTCTTTACTTCGAACGAGTCTGTCAGCTGTTTTCCATGCACGATTTTGCAGTTTGATCCATCATGGGAATTCCGTATGGTGTTGATTATATTCTCAAGCACTCCGTATTGTTGAAGAAACCTCCTTAGTGTTGTTCTGTCCATACTGTCAAATGCTTTTTGGTAGTCAATGATGTTGATGTAGTGTGATGAATTCCATTCAATTGATTGTTCCACAATTATCCGTAGAGTTGCATTTCGCCTGTATAGAATCAGTCCTTACGGAATCCTGCCCGTTGGTCACGAAGTTTGGCGTCTACGCAATCGTTCATCCTGTTTAACAATACCCCGTTGAAGACTTTTCCCGGTATTGAGAGGAGAGTGATGCCCCTGTAGTTATCACACTTGCTGAGATCGCCTTTCTTCGGTATTTTGATCAGAAGTCCTTCTTACAGACTGTTGGTACTTGTTCCTCATCCCAAATCGTATTGAAGAGGATGTGGAGTATCCTTGCAGTTGCCGCTACATCTGCTTCCAGTGCCTCTGATGGGATGTTGTATGGTCTTGGTGCTTTGCCACTCTTGATTTGTCTGATGGCCATGCTGATTTCTTCAATTGTTGGTGGGCCAACCTTGATTGGGAGGCCCGTGGGTGCTGCTTCGATGTTGGGTGGGTTCAGTGGAGCTGGTCGATTCAAGAGTTCTTTGAAGTGTTCTACCCACCTGTTTCGTTGCTCTTCAATGTTGGTGATTACCTCACCTTCCTTGCTTTTCACTGGTCGTTCTGGTTTGCGGCGATTTCCAGAGAGTTTCTTTGTTATGTCATACAGTTGTCTCATGTTTCCTTCTCTTGCAGCCTTTTCCGCCGTCGTTGCTAAATCTTCCACATATTTACGTTTCTCAGTTTTGATGTTGCTCTTCACTTGTTTGTTTACTTCTGTGTATTCAGCTTGTGCCTTGGCTTTTTCTGCTCTTGTTCGACTCGTATTCATTGCTGCCTTCTTGTTCCTCCTTTCTTGAATCTTATCCAGTGTATCAACAGTGATCCATTTCTTGTGGTGGTGCTTCTTGTGGCCCAGAACCTCATGACATGTTGAAGTGATCGCCTCTTTTATCCTTCTCCAGTTGCTCTCCATAGTACTTCCCCTCCATTAAGTGAATCGTGAAAGGCATGGAACCTATTACTGAGGACTATCTTGAATTTGTTGAGTTTGTCAGTATCCCGAAGAAAAGCCGTAGTAAACTTTTGTAATGTTGTCCGCCTCGTTGTTCGGTGGTTCTTGAGTTTCAACATTATCTTGGTGACCAGCAAGTGATGATCTGATGCTATATCAGCTCCTCTCTTGGTTCTCGTATCCTCCATCGTCCTCCTAAGCTTTTTGTTGATGTAGATATGGTCGATTTGGTTTTGTGTAGAGTGATCCGGCGAAGTCCATGTGGTTTTTTGTATGCGTTTGTGTGGGAATATGGTGCCACCTATAACCAGTTTATTGAAGGCACATTGGTTTGCAAATCTCTCACCATTTTCGTTCTTTCCTCCTAGTTCATGTCGTCCCATGATGTCTTCATATCCGGTGTTTTCCATTCCAAACTTGGCATTTAGGTCTCCCATGATAATGATCAAGTCCCTTGTTGGGCACTTCTCGACAACTGACTGCAGCCTATCGTAGTATTGGTCTTTAACGTCTTCATTGTAGTCGCTGGTAGGCGTATAGCATTGGATGAAGTTCATTGAAATGCCCTCTTTCTTTGTTTTGAAGGAGGCTTTGATTGTCCTTGGTCCATGAGATTCCCATCCTATAAGCGCATTTTGCGCTTGTTTGGACAGCATCAATGCAACTCCTTGTGTATGTGGGGTATTTTCTTCTTCATGGCCGGAGTATAATAGGAACTCCCCTGGAGTCAGTCGTTGTCGTCCAACTTGCGTTCAATGTGTTTCACTGATCCAAAGCACCTCTAGTTTGTATCTTCTCATTTCTGCAGAGATTTGGAAGGCTCTCCCTTGTCCCACATTTTACGAACATTCCATGTACCTAAATAAATGGTCGCTCTGGTTGTCAGAAGGGGCATCGGCCTCGTAACTTCCGAAAGAATTCAGCTTTCGTCATGAGGCGTCATAATTCTTCTAAACGAAGACCTTCTGACTCCCGGGGCAGAGTTTAAAAGGTTTGAATAATTTTTTTCTGGTTAGCGTTTTTTTAGCGAGTTAGTTTTCTACGGGATGGGGTCGCTAACTCCATGCCCAACCCTCTTCCTTTATCGGGGCTTGGGACCGGCAGTAGATCCCGGAGTGACTCCAGACGGAGTTATTTAGGTTTTATACTTTATAGTATTTGCCAAAATAACTTCCTGTTTGAGGACTTATTATGGTTTAGTCGTCTCCAAATTTTACATCTGATTCTTTACTCTAAAACTCTCTTAAAAAAGAAAAACGGCCAAACTCTCTGTGAGATATGTATCGTTAAGCTTTAAAATCTGGGTTCCATAAAACTCCACATTTTCACAATCTGATTTCACAACAGCCGTACAGAAATTTCTTATTTCCTTGATTTTCTGGGTACTTCTGTGAGTCATTAGTTTTCGTTAAGCATTTGATTATCAATACGTCTTTGTAGGCAGAACTATGGACTTTAAGCTGTTCTATACTATCAAGACCCATAAATAAGACTATGGTTTAAAATAACGTGATCTCATAGATATTGGATAATGAACGTGAAAGCGCAGTTTAAAGGAAGTGCTGTAGATGGATGTTCTTAGTATTAGCCTTTCGGATCGCTGGTCTGCTAGCTGTGTTTCAAGATTTATTATTTTCAGTTATACTATTAGTTATTTACTCGTAGTTTATATGCACTCGAAATTTTCAGTATTTTCAAAGTGGACACCACTACCAGTCAGATATCTGATTTTTTAGTCATGGATAGCAATTAGTTCCCTTCAGAGTTTTTAAGGCCACGTAAAGCAGTGATATGAATAGAATCGGCCAATTATTAGTTGTTTCATGAATGTATGCCGTCCTAAATGTAGGAAATGTTTAAAAAGACATTACTCCTGGCGTAGAGATGGTCCATTCTGCTATACTGAGGGAAACAGCCCCAATCCTGGCGACACCGCTTAGCGTGATGGTCTCACACTAGCTAAGGCGAGGCAAACTACCGGAAGATTGGAAGATGACTCACATCACACCAGTTTTCAAGGGAGGTCGACGCAGCGAATCTTCAAGTTACCGACCGGTGGTTGTTCTCCTATACCTTCAAAAATTATGGAGTCTCTGATATGCGACGGTTTATACGACTATCTACTGTCCTTAAATTTCTTCTCATCCCAACAGCATGGTTTCAGGAGGGGCTACTCTTGTATAACCAACGTGCTGACTGCGGTGGACAGATGGACAAGCATCCTCGATCTCATGAGAAAGGTTGACATCTACCTAGATTTCTCAGAAGCTTTTGATAAGGTTAACCATTTATGTCTTATCAATAAGTTTAAACGATTGGGTATCATACCACCTCTGATTGGTTGGCTTACTTCATATCTGAAAAATCGACATTTTAAGCTTAGGGTTAACTTCACGTTATCTCAGACCATGGAATGTCCAAGTGGGGTCAGCCAGGGCTCAGTACTAGGACCTCTTCTTGACTCATACAAATGATCTTCCAAGACAGGCATCGTCAGACAATTATTTCTGCTGATGACGTGAAACTTTGGTGAGAGATACGCAACCGAGACGATATACAGGTAATTCAGGAGGATCTGACTCGACTCCAAAGTTGGGCAGACGACAACAGACTGCAGTTGCAACTTAAGAAACTCCTCTCTAGTAGTATCCAAAGTCGAAAAAGATTTAGGAGTCCTGGTGCCCTACGATTTGAAGTCTTTCGCTAACTGACAAAAATGCCTTTCGAGCAAATCTTGCACTGATAACATTGAAGCTCATTTTTGGCCAGTTTGATGAAAGAACTTTCACAAAATCTTCAACAGTTTTATTCGTCTTCATTTGGTGTACGGAAACAGTATTTCCTCCCTTACTCCGAAAGGATAAGGACACTGGAGCGTATCCAACGGCGAGCCAAGAAGTCTGTTCGGGGACTCAAATTCAAACCTTATGGCGAGCGCCTCCAATCACTTAACCTTTACCCATTAGAGTATAGGCGTCTTAGAGGTGACCTTATGGCTTACAGTATGCTTAACATTTCTGGACATCCCCTTAAACACCTATTTAAGCTTAGTCCCAATACCAACCTAAGGGGTAACACCCAGAAATTGGAGATGCAACATAGCAGAACAGACTGTAGACACAAATTCTACTTCTTAAGAGTTGTCAAATGCTGGAATTCGCCGCCGTCTGAACTAGTGCAAGAGACTTCCCAGGAGATCTTTAAGAGGAAACTTGACCTATTCTTAAGGACCAAGGATAACATCTCATTATGAGTTACCAATTTCTTATTTTCTTCCAATCTTTTATGGGTAATATTCCTAGGTTCCTACCTGAAGGTATTGGTGATCCCTTGCTACTAGACACGGGAGCCTGTTAAGCGAAAGCTTCTATTTCGTCCACAACTATTTGAAATACGTTTAGACCTTAGTCGATTGTTCATGTCGAAATATTACCATACACTATCTTGCAGTTGTGATTAATAAGTAAAGGTAGCCATTAACTGTTCTCACTTCGGTATGTTCACAACAGCTTTTTATTATTGAGTGCTGACAACTGTTGTGTATTACATCTCTTTTTTCATACGACTAAGAGGATTTCAACTACGTAAATTCTTTAGATGTGAAGAAATAGTCACATACTGTAGATTTCATATAGCTATGTTAGACTGCCTCGCATAAACAATAATTTGCGTTATTTTAACGTTTACGAAATTCCGTGCTGTGTACATGACTTATGTAATTACTTTCTAATTTATTCTAAGATGTCTAACTGATGGAAATTGTCAGCATTGATTCACCGAAGTTCCGAATAGGAGATCTGAGAAAGCAGTTTATTTCCTGTCTACCCAATGAACATAAAATATTGAAGGAAAACGAAGCTAGTGATCTTCTTACATCTGAGTTTAAGAAGATCGTAACTGATTCTTCAATATTCAAACAGCTTGAGAATGATTGCAGGTAAATCTATATACAATTTGAGATTTTTGTTTAGTTTGGAAAATTTATACGTCGATAGAGAGTACACAACCTTAGAAGAAATCTTAAAAATCATACCATCGAGGAAAGATGAAAAGCAGCTGAAAACCCTAACTCATTTACTGAAAGAAACTGAAGGTTTGAATTCTAGAACATCAGTCCTCACAGCAATGCAAAGAAATCCTCGACCACTTGTGGATATGTCTTACCGAAATTCTGTTGATGAATCTCCAGAGGCCACAGAAGTCATCCCGGATGTATTTGTGACCGTTCTTGTCTACCGACCATTTAGCCTTCCTAACATTGATCCCTGTGCACAGGTATTATTGGTCATTTTTAGCGACTTTGTAAGTCTCGGCAACTAGTCATTACTCAGAGGTTGGTGCTGTTGTCCAAACAAAATCTCACAGTCTTAAGGGAAGCTATAAAGTGTTCACAAGATAAAGTAAGTGTTAACCCTATGTAAACAGTTATCAGGTTTGGCTAGGAGACTGTAGCGAGGCCCTTGATAATCCTGAACTGCGTGTTTCGGCGGATAAAATATACCCTTCTTCATACTTTTTCATTGAAGGTACGTTTTATGATGATTTGCGGCACGCAAATAGCAAGAGCCTTGGGGAGTAAGTTATTCTGTTTACTTACGTTATGCCCTAGAGAGGTTATACAGTGGGCGAAAAGCAAGAAAGAACTTAAGACGTATGGGCCTTTTACATCATTACCAATGGAATCAGTGACTCTCGAAAATCTTGTTATTTGTATTGGAAAGCCATATTTCTTCGTACACCAAGGAAATTGTGAACATATGATTATCTTCTCCGATATCCGGTGGGTTTAAGAACTCATTCCTTAGTTCTGGCATTCCGCTTTATCTATTATACTAGCAATTTACTTGAAATTGTGGTTAACCTCAACCTAATCAATTTGTAAACTATTGCGTCACCAAATCGACTACTCTTAACCTATTGTTTGGCTAAGTAAATGACCATTCTGGGATCCCATATCGGTATTTCGAGGACAACTTACATTCAGGACATGTGATTCTTGAGCCCTAGCAAGTGAACCCTGTTGCGCGGTTGAACATAGGTTTCGGACATTAAAAGGATCACCGAATAGTTTAGAGCGTGGCTTCAGTAAACTTTTGACGCCATTTTGTTAACTCGAATAGTCAGCACTCGTGGCATGTCTAGGAGAAGTTGAAGATTTATGTTTAACGAATTATTAGTGAGTAAAAGAGGGATTGATTGTGAATAAGGTGACATCAAGTTCTGCTAGATATATAAGGGTGGGTGTTAGTTCCGGACTCCAGACCTCGCGGAATCATTCTTGAAGGAAGGAACGAATTTTCACTTTACTCTTAAAGAACCTGAAAAATAAACTGGTCTTAGTGTAATTTTGACTAACTGAAATGAGTCACCGCAGAGCTCAAATGCTTGAAGTAATCAGTAAATTAATTTTAGAAGGAAATGAAAGGGAAATATCGCCAATAAATTGTAAAATGAACAGCCACGCCAGTCTGGGTCATCATTATTCTTCACATTATTGTGCAATCAGAAAACTGCGGCATGTTGCTGTTGCCTTTAATATTAATTCTAAAATCGCAACCTGTCAGAATGTTTCTGTTATTACGATCGCTTTTATTTCGTCTAATGTTATAATAGTTGGGTTTCCACTTTTACATGTATGGGACGCTAATTTACCTTAGACGAATATCTACACTAGATTCCCTCCCAGTGTCTATTCTACAGGACGTCAACAGAACTCAAATCAAGAATACATGACTATCCTGACCACAACGTAAATATACTTCCACACCAAAAACCCGACCCAGTTCAACAATAATGTACAATAATAAGTGAGAGTAATAATAAGGATAGGGTAATATATAACTTATCTGACACCTGTCAGACTATCTACATGTCTGACTAAGCAGACAACCAATCATTGTCATTCTCGCCCACACATCAGTTTCATTGACTTTAAACGTTATTTTGTCATTTGTTCCAGAAATAAACACAGCAAGTTTTTCCGTCACTGGTTGTTTATTAGATATCGGATGATATGAAACCATTATGATCGACATTCTGACTGATACATTAACCAGGTGACTCCGCAACACATTGTACTGAAAACACGTCTCTAACAGTTTGAAATATACATAACTCGCAATTTGAATGCTGTATGCTATCGTTTAATTTGAAAGTTTAAAGCAATAGACAAGTTTCAGACAGCTATTTTCACAATTTTTTTTAAACTTCAGTCTTGTAGATCGTGATTCATGTCAAACTGAGTCCTTATTCCCAATGCTCACCGGTCGATGCAATGTACGTGTAATGCATTGTTTCGTTTGCAGACGTCTTGCATCCCGCTGGATAGTTACAGAGTGTGGGACCATTTTACCTGTCGATCCATGTCCAATATGTGATGTATGCATCCGACTGCTACTTTACACTGCTGATGGAAAGAAGATTAATCCGCGTTTTAGAGTTTTGATGTATTGTGGAGAGGAAATTGTAGTGTGAGGCCTCATGTAAATAATTTAAAATAAATACTTTAAAAAAGCATTTCACTTTTCACAAATCAAACTCTAAAATTACACTAATAGCAATCTTCAGCTGTTTTTCTGTAGAATTTCGATAATCGAATTAACACGTTGTTACATATCCTTCACTTATAGTTTACGCTTCCAACTAATTCCTATATATTTCAGACAATAAATCTTATGGGTTTTCCTAGAGAGGAGAAAAACAATGAACAAGCAGCGAACACAAACCCATCAGTAGGAGAATCAAGCGCAGATAAAGTTGCGGCTGCTACTTTCGGTGTTTTATCTGAAATTTCAAGTCTCTTAAACACAGGTAAACGTGGTAAATTTAATCAGAATCCCCAGTTGATGTCCACTTTAATACTAAAAACGACTAAATTATCTACTGTAACAACGCAAAACCTGGTTAAATAAAGATCGACCTTATATTAATTTTCAAGCTAATTAGTTAAAAAACAAGAAGTAGTAGTTGCGCGTCACAACTTATTAGGACTTACCAAATGTTAGATGAACATTGATTTTAGATCCTCTGAATAATTGTTCTATTATTATTATCATCATCACAAAATCGTAGCTCAAAAATGTCCCATTTATAAGCCTTATTGACTATCGCACTTTTGATTGTGACTAGATTTCTGCAAACAAATACATCTTAGCTCTAAATATCTTATAGCACTACCGATTTCATAATCATAGTGGACATTAAGATCTTGGTCTCACGACTCCCCACGATGGAGATGTCACTGAAAGTGGGTATGACACGCAGTTGTGACTGGTTGATCGAAAAATTCTACATTCATTTCATCGTAATACTTCAAAAATATTACGTAAGCTTACTATATGCTGTTCTCTCGAATACCTACGATCAAATTCGGAGTTGTGAGAAATTATGAATGGGACCTTCAGGATCACCTACAACCCTCATCTTTACCCGATGTCCTGTCACAAATGGTGGGTATGTATGAAATTAGGAAATGCTATTGGTTCCTCCTGTAATGAAATAGTGTGGCAAATTGCTTTGTCTAAATTTTTCATTAAACATATTGTACCCGGTTTAACTTCAATTCACGTAATTTTCATTTTAGGTTTAGATAATGAAGAATTGCTGATGTGCATCAAACTAATTGAGAGCGGTGTGAACCCAACTACTCTAGCTTTACTTGTAAACAATGTGAAACAACAGTGCGAACACCTTTCTGAACTCAAAAGATAAGTAAAACTTTGAATCCTGTATTGCATATTCAGAGATTGCAAAATAAAGATTTATTATTAACAAGAAAGAAATCACAGCTTTTCAACGAGTGTTGTTAGCAACAACCTTGTAGTTTGATTAAATTTGTAAACAAAGCGATTACCAATAGTCCAATGTAAGAAACAAAGAAATAATACAATACATAAGTAGGATATGTCATATAGTAATAAGGAAGCCTTTCAGTATGGGAACTCAACCGATGGCATCAGCTATTATTCGGCTAACAACGGGATCAGATGAACGTACTGTGATTTGGAAAGTTACACCCTGTTCGTTTGAATGAAGAGATGCATCAGACAATACTTTAGCAAGTTTACATAAGGCCAAAACTTGGTACCCACCACGATATACTCCGGACAGAAGGAGCTGATGAGATGACTTTCCTTCATGAGGCATATGATCAGTTTGATCACAAGGCTGAAGTCCAAGGTGTTCGATAATTTGACGCATCGTTTCTAAAGTATGAGGAAATAACCAATGATTTAAATCGAAGAAGCATGAGGATTCGTTACATATCTGTAAAAATCAGTGTTTTACAATAAATATCATTTGATTATCATGAGCAGCCACATAGTATATGTTGCCCTACTCTCCAAGAAAACAAAATTATGAACAATTCAGCCGTGTTCTTTCAAAAGCATTGACAAAAGTAATCTAACTCTTTATTACACACTACATCAAAACAATAACCTTAGCTTAATTCCGTTAATTGTGTAGACCGAGGCAGAGTTTTAAACAGTTCTTTAATGAGAAAAATGTAAATTCACTAGACATTTTCATCTAGCAAAATAATAGTGAGCCCTATAGACTTTGAGCAGGTGACAAAAAACGGTAAAACTCGAGGGTTTCCTATAGTTTGAAAACATGAAAAAAACCCATTGTGATTATAAGAAGACAGATAAGTTGTTTTTATCGTAGTCAACATGCTTTACTTTAAAATACTTCGTAATATACTATACCCTGTTTGGGAACAAATCTATTGATAAATTTGACTTCGTTAAGACACTCTATACTTTTGTTTCGATAGTTAAATAACGTTAATTAAAGTTAATAGAATGTCTAACATTTAGATAAAGTATCAACAGTAAAGTTTAGCATACCTTTAATAGTTTTGTGCTTCACCAGCATATACGTTTCCTCTACTTCAGTTTCAGGACTGAGTTCCTGCCAAGCCAATGTAAAGTTCTGTTTCGAAACACGTTGAATATGGTCTGAAATACCTAGGACCAGGTCTTCCAACTGTTATAAAAGTCGGAATTGTTAGAAAATGAGAAATCAGAAAAGTGGATGGGGGATATGATGTACCATAACAAAAGCATACTTAGAGACTTTAACTTAATTGTTATTTTATAAGCAAAAATGTATGATGGCTAGCTGTGGAATCTAGGATGTGCGTTCCGTCGTATTGGGGACTTGTCGGTTGGATTTACCGGCATCATCGAGTTGATGTTCACCCCAGGACTCGAACCCAGTACTACTACAAACGCCATCACAAAAGGTGCTGGGTTCGACTCCCGGATTAAACATCAATATTTGGGTGCAGTTACATCTAACTAACAAGTTCCAAATAGTACGAAGCGCGCATCCTGGATTGCACTGCTAGCCACCATCCATTTTTGCTTATAATGCTTGTGACTCAAGGCAATCCGCACAGGATGTGCATATGCCAGTAAGAGACTGGTCGATTGCACTCCTAAACATCGATGGGAAAATAAGAACGAACAATACAAAAACGAATTAATTATAATGGATATTCCCAACGAAATGAAACTTTTTTTGCTTTACTAACATGCAACTGCAATTTGTTTACACCTAACTGGAAGATAGTACAGATCCACTTTTGTTACTTAGTTACTTTATTGACAATGTTCGACTACATATGCGCCTTGAAGCTAAATACTGAGTAAATTAACAATATTGACGGGCGTTTGTGTGGATTACCGAATACTTCACTTGATACGACTGTTTGGTATTTTTCAGATCTAAAAAACTACTTGTTAAAGAGCAATGACTACGTTTGTTAAACGTGTAAGGTTTAAAATGGATCATATATGAAACAAGTTAAACCTTTGGATTTATTATTATTGTTCATACTGACAATTAACAAAGTATCACGTTCATCTAAACTTCTAATGATTTTCGGGTACTAAAATAATAGTCTAGCCATGCAACTAAAAAATTAGGTGTATTACATGGATAAAATATTTCCTGTAAATATCTGGTGAGATATTTAGAAAATGATGAGCAGAGTTGGTTAACCAATGTTAATACCAAAAGTAATCGTACGTCTTCTAACTAATTACTGTATAAGTCCAGTATACGAGGTAGCTGTAGAAAAGCAGCATGTGTCTATGAACTGTGATTAATGATACAAGTATATTCTTGACATGCCAAATTGCTGCTTTTTTTAGGATTTATTTTACAGAATGACTCAGTGAAAGATAAATTATATTTACAGAATCAAAGTTTATGACATGATGTGTAACACAAACCTCCATTGGGTCCACAAATAACTTACTTGATATTCGTCTGGCAAACCAGGATCCGAAGGATCAGAGTCAATATCTTTGATAGTAAATTTCAATATGTTGATAAATGTAGCAGAATGACATTCTAGATCCTCCGGCAACTCAACTAGAACATACGTCACAGCGGGAGAATTATATTTTAAGCTTTTGCAAGGTACTGTGCAGACAATGTTAAACATGGGATCGTCCGGCTCACACGAAACATAGACATTCTCCAAGACTTGGTCTGCCATTGTATTGACACAATCAAACTGAAACAAATTATTGAATGAAATCAGAGCGAGCAGAGAATAAACAGAAGGTTACTCACTTCTATATGATATTGAATTACGTGACAATCTATAGTTTGATGTGATAAGACTAAGAAAAGACGAATCTGGACTGTTTATATAGCAGCAGTGATCTAAACCTTGTATATATAGAGCCTAGAATCGTGGTCTCAAGGAAATGTAATGAGATATTAAGAGCTATCTGGCAAACAAAACGCAAATGTGGTTCATTGACTCATCTTTACTGTTTTCTGTATCAAACGAAACGATATCTGTATTGTCGAACTATATAAGCTTCAACAATTAAATTAACGAAAAATAACTCAATACTCAGAACCAATTGTGTTTACGTGTAAAAAGTGCTTCATGCTTGCTAATAAATGTTTGGAAATCTGACTCACCTGCAAGACTAAATGCCTTGAGAATAAATGTTTTATGCATGATACTACATATTCAGTGTCAGATTCAGTTAATTCTACTAAGGAAGAAGATTTGAATATGGAGCCAAGACCAGAAAATTCGGGTATAGATGCCAGCTGCTCAGCAAATGAATCTTGAATACGTTTTCCTGACATCTGAGAAGCAAGTGATGCGTTTCGACCTTCACCAGCCATCGTATTAGATTTAGCTTGAAAACAACATCAGAATTTATTGAGAAATAATCAAAGTACTTTGTCCTGATAATTGTGAAAAAACAAATGAATATATCGCACTAGAAACAAGATGGTAACCTCGGACTACACATATCAATGTATTTTGCAGCAGAGAAATGGTAAGTGAGAGTGTATCCATCACAGCAAATAATTTCGAGTCGTATCATCTGATACTGAACACATGTGTGTAAATCACGACAATCGTTTCAACTCTCCATATACTTCAACCCAATGACCAGTATCCCAAGAGTGCCGCCATATTTTCGTCTGACTATCCTTGATCTTTTCTAGTTTAGCTGTACTGTTTGAGTAACTCACTTATACAAACCAAATTAGTTCTACCGTGGGATTATTATTTCAAAATCACAATAGACTACTAGTTATTATATATTTTGTCCGCTCGCGATATATTAGTGTTTTTATTATTTCTAGGTTGATCACAGAACAGATAAGATGTGATAGGCGATAAGTATACATATAAAACTCCCACAGCAAAAAATACCTCATATAAAATGACATCATCTTTAACTCGGTAACAATATTTTGAACGATGTCCACGAACTTATTTAAAAATTAATTTTTTATTGAATACTCCCTCGGATTATTATTAATACACATAAGCCAGATTTGCTTACCTTTAATCTTTACAACATCCGATTCAATGGCAGAACTAAGATCATTTGGCTGAACAATATCAGCTATTGGGACTGTCGCCAAAGAGAAAGGACTACCAGCAACTGTGTGTGAGTTGTGCACATAATCCAATAAAGCACGCTCTAAACCAGATGGACTTAGATGCATTTCTTCACTTAAAAGGTAAGCAGATTTTAACGCTACTTGGTTATGTGATAAAATATAGTGGTAGAAAGCTGCGCGATCACGAACCTCATCATCTTCATCAATCATAATTCTAGACGTAGATGAAACAAAAACAAGATGGTTTTGAAGGTAAGTAAAAAAAATGACCATTGAAAGGATCCGTTTGTTTAATACACAGAAAATAATAGCGAGCTTATTCCCCAACTATATCTGATTTAGATGACACAACACTAACAGAATGGTGAATTCAAAAAGCTAGAAAAAGGCGAAGGACAGGTCAGAAAGTCTTCGTGAAGGAAATACAAAAAAACGTGACCAGCATTTGAATGCATTGTCTATTAATAAACGTTTTCGATGTAATTATCTATTGCACTCATGTTCAGAATATTGTCGTGAATAAAACTGATATGAACAACAAACGGTTGTGATAAACATGCAGTGTGCTCCGCACAAATCTTTAGGCTACCTTCTTTTCAAATATAAACAACAACGACCCATGTGTTGGTTTATTCAGACTAACTATTATTGTTGAACACTAAGGGTTGAGTTAGAGCTTATGGCAAAATGTCATCGGAAATAATAACTTCGTCAGGGTTGTCTGCTTCCCTTATCTCTACCTAACCTTATCATAACCATGCTTTTGGAGATAACGCCCTAATTATCTAACTCATCAGAAATCTATCCTTAACCAACAAACTCACTTATTGACTTAAAATTCGATGATATAATTCTGTTAGGTGAAGACACTGAAAAAATGCAAGCTCCTGACCACCTTGAATAACAATGCAAGCGTTTCTCTCCATCACATTGCAGAATGTTACTCCAGAACTGGTCTGCGCCAACGCCTGAACTAATGATAGGAAGTGAAGTAATTAGGTACGTCTATCTCTTGACCTATCTTGGAAATCTCATAAACCTTGGTTGATGAAATGGCCCAAAATTGTTGGCAGTGGCACGAGTATACTTATTTTTTGTCTGCCCTTACATTCTATGTATTTAAATTTTGGCGCGAAACTTTCTCGTTCATATGGCGAAAAAGCATTTTGGTATTACAGCTGATATCAGTTCGTAATGAAAACTGTGACTTATTTTTAACCCTTACGATCAACAGCAAATTAGTCGAAGTTCTCAGCGTCATTTAAACATCCCTCAAAGGTCGTATCTAAATTAGTCTCACCGACAGATTTTGCGTCGCGTATGACTGATAGACCAATATTGTCCATTAACCCCTTCTTAATACTTATGGATATTAAAAGAGGCTTGTAAGCCATCACTATGCTGAACATTTTAGAAATGAAACGGAAGAGGTTGATTCTATATTTCTCTATTTTTCTATCCTCCCAGGACGAAGGGACAAGTACATTATAATTCATACCTATTTGTCTAGATTGAGAAGTCATATTATACACCGTTTTTATGGACGTCGTTCTTATTACTGTCTTTGCATTGATGCGAAAAAATTTATTCAGACGAATTACAACTAGAATGAGTAAAAAAACCAACGTTTATAAGTTCATTCAAAAAAAACTCCTTCAATGTTCAGACCATTTCACGATATCAGTGTGAATCATTTAACCAGTGATGCTGTAGTTTAGTAATATACTTTATAGTACGTTTTGTCGTAACTATCGATCTTTAGTGGGCAGGTATCAACAGAATCTCAGTTGACAGAACAAATGGGTGATTAACTACTAACTTTTTTATTATTTAAAGTCTTGCACATGATTGTTTGTTTTACGTAAACCATGTCAATTCAGACATAGCTTTAATTAATTCGAAATGTCATAAGATATAGACCATAAAATGTGAAGCTCTAAAATACTAAAATTCTAGATCCTTTGGTAGACAAAACGGCAGACTTAAGCTTTTAAGAATTATCCGATTATTGAGAGATTTTTAACACCCATCCCTACATTGAAATGTCCCATGATTTTTTTAAAATCCTCACCTGTTAATTAATTGTTTATCCAAATTAAATTTTGTACGTCGCTTTACAAACACTATGTTGAATTCCACATTACAGGAATATTCGAAGTTTGTACGAAGTGCTATTTCCAAATCTAACAAAGCTCAATATGAACAAAAATTTATAAAAAAAACCAGACAACAAAAAATTGTGTATACCGTTTAAGAAGTACAAGAATACTCGGAAGTAATTCCTCATTGTGTGCAGCAAACCTTGCCAGAGCTGTTGTAGCTGTGCACTTAATGGGAGCTGATTCGAGCATAACTCTATTGTAAATGTAACGAGTAAATTGACGAGGACGTTTGAGGTAGGGTCCCTCCCGCCCCAACAGATGGAGTATACGCTGTGTTAGTTTAACATGTTCACAATCCTCTATGAAGTCACATAATTGTAACAAACCTATATTCAGATTAGAAATAAGAAACACATATTTAGTAGCGAAGTATAAGCATGTCCAAGCGTTAACTTTTATTGTGTCTAACAAATCAAAGAGTGAAAGGGGATAGAGTGTTTAGCAGGAGACGACCTACATGTTTGAAATATTTTTCAGTACGATACTGTTTTGAATTGAGTTTTGGTAGAGTTCAACCTCGATTATTAAGTTTATTATGTGAGAAAGTATAAAAATTACTGGTTAGCCATTTAGCATTTGATCAATAAACCACAGGCTCGAATCACGCGTTCCATAATTTTCTTTACCCAGTTGGACAATATCATTAGTCCAAATCGGATTACATACATCTATATTTAGCCAATGAGTTACTGTAACCCTATATAATGAACATATACTGGAGATCCTTCTACATGACACAAACGTAAAGAAATATTTCACGATGAGCGAACCTTGTGTGAAGATTAGTCTGCCCAATAAACTTCCACTTACGACCCCATGATGACGGAAATATTAGACTACTAAATTTAATCCAACACTTATTTATAGGGTATGGTCAGACAAACATGATACACAGCTCCATATTGGCACATACAGTTAGCAGTGGTCATATGGTCGATAAAACTACTTAAATTCAAGTGATTTATCATATCATTCCGTCACTTCTCAACAAAACTCGATTTCGTCTTGCCCATATAGCAGAAATTATAGGGATCCGAGCCTATAACTCAAGTTCATGTGTTCAGAAAAAATTCGTGACACCCCTGTCCTTTCGTTGTCTGGTATGATTAATTAAACGATTTCGCTGATATACGTGCTGTAATTGTTTTTTGTCCTTCACCTCTTTTCGTCTATATTCTGATTATTTACATGACTTTTTGTTGCGTAATTTTATTTATTTATTCCAGTTTGAGCTACTTCCTATGTTAAACTCTTAACTAGAACTTTTATTATTTCTATCACTACTAGTACACCTATCTGCTTGCCATTAATTTGTATTTTTCCTCTTATTACGTTTATTTGTGTAACCTGTTTCATTGTGATCACTGACTCACAAACTGCCTTGATTGTTTCAATATTTTTATAAACCCAGACAAATATTTCATGCGTACAAGAGTAAGAGCTGATGACAACCCCATTGAGAACAATATTGTTCGCTTGCATGTGTTCTAACTTACAACATGAAAATTTTTAACGAACTACTCTGTAAAAATTTCCAGAAAAACATAGGGTAAATCATCAATGCTGGTGAACTACTTGCAATTACGAAAACCACTGTTTAGTCTGTATCTTACATTTTTAGTAACTCAAATAGTCATACTGCGATCCGTCGAGTGTGGAAGAATGGGATTTGTCTGGCTGATGTGTCAAACTAAGTGAACTGATGTAATCAACTTGGCTGGGTCTGGCGCCTAGTGAGACTACACAAGTAAATACTGATTTTCTGTGAGGTTTTTGCAATTTGAAGCATGTTCTCTCGTCGGTGCGAATTCTGAGCGCGAAAAAAATTTATATATTCAAAATGTCTACATAACGATTGATGAAACTCAGGGATCAAAGCAAGCTAATAAAGTGAAAGGAATCGTAGAATCTGACAACTGTAAAAAGTTATTTCAGCTAATAAAATCAGAAATCAGTGTCGTACGACATGTAGTAGTCCCAGTTACTATAAACATCTAAGCTGAAGGAAAAGCACGGCGAACAACATACTCGATCCTCCTACAACTCTGACTAAATTCAACTGCAACTCCATAATTAATAAAGACCGATGAAACATACGGTGCGTAAATGAAGAATGAGTTTCATTTACTACAGTGGGTGGTAAACAGCTTACATAACTGCCCTCGCCCCACCGCATTTTTAAAGATGGAGACTTTTTAATCAAAAAGAATCCATTGTAGTACCCGTTTTGAAAAAAACACAGTAAGTCCTAATCACGAAAATACAGTTCTACTACCAGTTACGTTGAGAATACTAGTTGGTGTACATCAAAGTAATTGTGTCATGTTTCATGCATTTCAATTATCCACTAACCTAAATGTAATCTAACATCCTAGCTGAAATAAACTAGCATTCGGAAAAGGCTACAGAAGCCCCCAACAAGATACGGAACCAGTTCATCAAGTTAGTACCTGTTGGTCGAATCTTCATAAGATACGGTAGACTATCATGTAATTCTGAGATTTGCTAAACTATTTCTAAATTAATCTGAGCATCCAGATTCATGAGCATACAAATAATTAATCGCTTATTTTACAAACATTTACGCATATCCAATGACACCTGTTCACGATACCATAGAAAGGCGATCTCAGCGAGTGTGATAACTACAGAGGAATCACACCACTGTCAGTAACAGGAAAGATCTTCAACAGGGTGTTGTTAAACAAAATGAAAAACTCTGTAGGCGCCAAACTTTGAGATCAACAGACTTGATTCGCAAGGATCGATCAGGTACCGATCAAGTTGCAACACTAAGGATTATTGTGGAACAAACAATTAAATGGAATTTACCACTCTACATAAACTTTATTGATTACGAGAAAGCATGTGATAGAGTGGACAGAACAACACTAAGGAGGTTTCTTCAATACTACGGAATTTCTATGATGGATCAAACTGCAAAATCGTGCATGGAAAACAGCTGACAGACTCGTTCGAAGTAAAGACCGGTGTCAGGCAAGGTTGCTTACTCCCACCCTTTCTCTTTCTCATGGTGATCGACTGAATCATGAAGACGAAAACATCTCGGGGGAAGCATGGGATACAGTTGACGTCTAGGATGCAGCTGGACGATCTAGACTTCGCAGATGATATGACTCTTCTATCGCACACGCAACAACAATTGCAGAAGACGACCAGTGTATCAACAGCCTCAACAGCATTAGGTTTCAACATACAGGAGGGGGAAAGCAAGATTCTCCGATACGATATAACATGCACCAATCAAATAATACTTGACGGAGAAGATTTGGAAGATGTAAAAACCTTTACATATCTGGGCAGCATCACTGATGAACATGGTGGATCTGATGCAGATGTGAAGGCGCAGACTGGCAAAGCAAGAATAGCATATTTACAACTAAAGAGCATCTAGAACTCAAAACAACTGTCAACCAACACCAAAGTCAGGATTTTCAATACAACTGTCAAAACAGTTCTACTGTATGGCGCGGTAACCTGGAGAACTGCTAAAGCCATCATTCAGAAGATACAAGTGTTTATTAACAGCTGTCTACGCAAAATACTTCGAATCCGTTGGCCAGACACTATCAGCAACAAACTACTATGGGAGAGGACAAACCAGATTCCAGTGGAAGAAGAAGCGCTGGAAGTGGATAGGACACACATTGAGGAAAGCAACCAACTGCGCCACAACGCAAGCCCTCACTTGGAATCCTCAAGGCCAAAGGAGGAGAGGAAGATCAAAGAACACATTATGCCGAGAAACGGAGACGGACATGAAAAGAATGAACAACAATCGGATAGAAGTAGAAAGGAAGGCGCAGAACAGAGTGGGTTGGAGAATGCTTGTAGGTGGCCTATGTTTCATTGGGATTAACAGGCGTAAGTAAATAAGTGATATTCAATTGTTTGCAGTCAGTTTTAATGACAATTTTGAGAGTTAGTGTTTCAAAAAACTATTTGAAATCAATTCTCTGATGATCAAGAATTTCAAGTGATTATCTTATTTTGCTAAATTTCAGATATGAGAAAAGTTTACAGAAACGCGTAAGACAAACCTACCTATACTTTTAGCTTCTGGAATTTGTTTGATAATTGATTCGATAGCAACCACAACTGCTTTCTTAAAAGTGTATCCAGCCGAATCACGAAGAAGTCCAGATAAAAAGTTTAATAACACTGTATACTTTTTGGGGTACTTTGTTGCTAATGCATGGATAGATTCCAATACGACTATTTTAAACTCATCGCTTATTTCACCCATGAACGGAGATACATGTTTTAGCAAACGTTCAACATTCGACTCGTTGCCCGTCTAAAAAATTTAATAAATAATATTCTAAGCTGTGTAATTCCATATAGTCTATAACTATTGCACATTACAAGTTATATTGCGCCAAATTGAGTTCTCACACATTTCAATAACGTTGAAAGAGAAAACCAGAAAAATAAGAAAGTAAAAAAGTGAATCGATGTTGAGTATTCACAATAGTATTAATTATCCATACTCCTACAAACCGATGTTTTATATAACGAAAATCCTACAGAATGGGAATAAATTACCAATCACTTTAGGCAAACCACTGAACTAGCTTAAAAGAAACCCTATGTTTAAGCTCTGGGCAACTAAAGAATCTACAACAATAAAGTATAGATCGGTGTGGTGTTTCCATGTCTGTTTTTACCTTGTAGGTCTTAAATTAGATCTACGATCGTTGAAAGGGCACAATAGTGTACCAAGTACAAGCCAAGTACGTTGAATCAGAAAACCAATATTTACCTGTCTTGATTTTAGATAGTTTATGGCCGCCAACATCAGTTACTTTAGGTATTAAAGAGGGATTATGGTGGATACACAACTCACTGATATTGATTACTGAAGGTCGCTTGGGAATTGCTAACTGCTACCGACCACGGTTTGTGCAGATTCTGATCATGGTGGGAATCACAAATAAAAATGAAGCTAGTAGTCTACCGCAGTTTTAATCACTTACCTTTAGTAAAGTTGTTATTGCAAGTGTTGCGATGCTTCTATTAGGATCACCGATTAGTTGCTCAAGATCGAGATTACATGCAGTTACCGCTGCAGGATGATTACTGGCGACAGCATTTAACGTATGTACAGCAGCATATCGTAACGCAGGTTTGGAAGACGTACAAAGCAGTTGTAAAACACCCACAGCAGGTGCTAACTCTTTAGCTGTTAAGTTTCGGAGGCTAATTATTGCTCGAGCTGCTTCATATATGACCATCTCCGATTTATGGCGAAGAGATGACTCCAAAAACTCATATAATTGTGGATTATTCCTTAAGAAAGTGTGGAAATATGGTTTAAGGGGTAGAAAAGACATTTTAAAACAACAAACTGCGTTTGAAGATGTGAAGAAGACAGAATAGCACATTATACATATCATACAAAATATGTGGATCAAAGTCAGAAATCATTTCTCAGTATAGTGTATGTACACAGCAATTGATGTGACCCAGACAGTTCAAACAAATTCGATTTGTTTTGGAATACAGGAAGTATAGGACATTACTATGGTTTATACACCTTACAATTTTAACAATACATACGACATACTTCACGCGAAAATGACGACAATATATGACCAAACGTGGTCTACAGGCTAGTTAAGATTTTGAAAAGCATGAGAACTCATATGCAATAGTCGAGAGAGCATATGGATATGGAAGAATTACTCCGATCCTAGTGTGGTCATTCACTTGAACTCACCTCGGCGAAACGGAGAGCCGACGAGATACACTCTGCGTGTATTTGGAGACCCGATGGCTAGTTCTCGTGAACTGGCAGGTGTGGGCATAGCACTGAGTATGAAGGCGGAACAAGCACTATTAGAGTGGATCCCCGTTAACAGTCGCCTATGTGTTGTTCAGTTAAACGGCTACATGAGAACTCCGAAGGGTGGGGACACACATTGGCTTTTTGTCGTTTCTGCCTACGCTCCCTTCTGAAAACCTTCAGAAAGCTAACGGTTCAGACAGCACTCATAGCAGATGACTTTAAGGCTCAGGTAAGTAGCTGAAACCACGCAGAAAGACATTTAGGTGAGTATTTTACTATTCCGGTTCAGCGAACAGATAATGGTGATCGTCTGCTGCAACTGTGCTCAGACAACCATTTATTTTTCAGTCAGTCAGTAACAACGTAGAACTTCGTACGTACGTACATCAGTTCGAGTTGCCACACCATATTAGCACAGAAATGCAGTCGACACAAATTCCGTTGTGGTAGAGGTAGTAACAATATAAACAGTAATTGGAAAGATTAGGGTTTGAAGATGTTAGTCAAGGAGTATAATACACTGAAATAAACTTGGAAAGAGGAAAAAAGGACATGAAGAATTCAGAAGATTATAATTTGGGAGAACACAGAGAGTGGATGCACCTGCGCCATTGCAAACAATTTTGAGCCATGTCATTCAGGGTCTCTAACCATCGGTTGCTATCATCTCGCGGTCCCCAACCAGGTAGTCTACACCTACCAACATGACTCAGTTCACTTGTCAGTGACTTCATGGACTTGTGCCATGTTTTGGTCTGGCCGCCCTTAGCTTTCTTCCAACCTACTCCTATACCATTTAACATAGTACGTCGAGGCAGTCGGTTGTTGGGCATACGTAACAAGTGTCCCAGCCATCTCAACTGATGAAGTTTCACTACATCATCAAATGATTTTGCCATTCTTACCTAGTACCTCTTTCCTAACAACTGCATTACTTACTCGATGGTCCCAGGATATACGAGCAATATTTCGAAGACATCTATGATCAAATACTAGTAACCTACAGATATCCTCTACTCCTATCGGCCATGTTTCACTGCCATAAAGTAGGACAGAACGAACTGCTGCGCAATAAACCCGTCCTTTGTTTGATAGACGGATATCTCGCCTACGCCATAAATGACGCAAGTTGGCAAAAGCTAGTCGAGCCTTCTGTATCCGTGCTGAGATTTCGTCACACACCAGACCACGAGGGCTGATGAGACTTTCAAGATAAGTGAAGCGATCGACACGCTCAATTACTTCACTCCCTATCATTAGTTCGGGTGTCAATGCAACCCAATCCTGAAGCAACATTTTGCATTTCGAGGGAGAGAATCGCATCCCGAACATGCTTGAATTGTTGCTTAGAGTGGTCAGAAAACTCTGCATTTTGTCAGCGTCTTCACCAAATAAAACTATGTCATCAGCATACTCTAAGTCAACAAGTGAACCTCATGGTAGAAGTTTAACCCCTGTAAAGTCAGATGAGGAAAGTGATATCTCTAAAAGCACATCAACGACAAAGTCGAACAAGAATGGAGAGAGTGGACAGCCCTGATGAACACCACTTGAGGTAATCGATTCTGATGACAGTTCGCCATAAGCTCTCACTCTACCAGTTGTGTTCGAGTAGAGAGCCTTTACAAGGTTAATGTACTTCTTTGGTACTCCTTTCAGTGACAAACACTGCCATAGAACCCCACGATCAACAGAGTCGAATGCCGCCTTAAGGTCGAGAAATACTACCATTGTGGGGTGTCTGAATGTGTGTCTGTGTTCTAGAACCTGACGTAGTGTGAATATCTGGTCTACACAACCACGTCCAGGTCGAAAACCAGCCTGGTTTTCTCTAGTCTGTTTTTCACGAGCTTTGGTTAGGCGTCGAAGTATTATTGAGGCTAATATTTTAGACACTATATTAGTCAAACTGATTCCTCTGTGATTGTCACAAGAGGACGTTTTTACTTCCTTATAGACTGGCAAAATCAGTGATTGAGACCAGTCAGATGGGATTACGTCCCAGTTTCCAGATTCTACCTAAGACCTCAGTTGATCTCACCGCTAAATATTCATTTAATTCAACACATAAATATTGGTACAAAAGGGCACCAAATATATATGCGCCACACCATACTTATGTGTGTGTGGACTGTGATACTGCCCGGATGCCCAGATCGAAATAGGTGGTTTTCTTAGGGGACCACACCCCGAGCCTTTGGCCTAAAAGGTCTGACCCACAAGGCAGTGGGGCATCGTGAGGAGATGCAGTCCCATGGAAGCCGGTGACCAAAGACTAGTTCATACGCCATTTGTTCCCGCAGGATACTGGAGCCCATGTGCACCGCTAATACTGGACCACCATCCTTAAAAATCTCAAGGGTAAGCCTGTCAGGACCTGTTGCTCTCCCTCGCTTCAGATTTCCTATAGCTTTTTCAACTTCGTAAAGAGACGGAGGACCTACATTAACTTGCCATTCAGGTTGACTGGAGATCGTGGGAAACCGAATTGTGGTTGAAGGCCAGTTGAACTGATCCCTAAAGTGTTCTGCCCATCGATCCAATCTCCTGGATTGAGAACGTATAATATGTCTATCTTTCTCTGAGATTGTTTCGCTAACAGTCGGTTTCCTAATACCGGTTTCCTTAACAAGTCTGAACAATTGTCTGCTGTTACCTACTGCCGCTGCCTTTTCCATCTTTCTTGCTTCCGCTACCCACCACTGTTCACGATCATTGAGTAGGCTTTTTGTCAGCTTGCGCTTAAGCCGACTCCACTCTTCGTTATGTTCAGATCCAGATGGGATATGTTTCCCAGCATCTATCAGTGCGGTAGACGCTGCCGAGATCCAGTTTTTTCCCCTAACCTTGTGGTTTACCGTATTAGCAGATATCATTGCTGTTTCCACAGCTTTTCGGATATCATTCCATGCTGCATCGGGGTGGGCATCACATACATGGCAGCCTAACTGTTTTCCTAGTTGTTCCTGAAATATACTCTTAGCTTGATTATCATTGAGTATGACCCTAAGAGGTTTCCTTGCAGTGTTTCCTACGTCCAGTAAGACGCAGACAAATATGCGCTCGCACTACAGCATGATCTGAGTCTAAGCCTGTGCTCCAGAATGAGCGACAGTCTTCTATGGAGCCCCTCCATCGGTGGATGATAGCGATGTGATCTATTTGGGTCCAACGTTGGGACGAATTAGGTCGCCATGTTAGATGTTTTTCCTTATGCTTAAAGTTAGTATTTGCAAGAAACAGGCGGTTATCTGAGCATAGCTGCAACAGACGGTCGCCATTATCTGGTCTTTGAGCCACAACGCTATAAGATCCACCCAGGTGTCTTTTCTCGTGCTTAGTTTACCTACTTGAGCAATAGGTCACCAGCCAATATTACTACATAAGAGCGCCTAACTTTTCGGAGAAGGTTGGAAAGCTTTCTATAAAACTCATTTTTTATATCAACTGAGCTGCAGTCAGTGGGAGAATAGGTAGAGACGACGAAGAGGCAACAACGATTGTCCCTATCTTTTTGAGTCCTTATTGTTACGTTTAGTCGGACAGGGCACAAAAGACTGTCTACTGGGATCCAGTCTAAGAGAGCTAGTTCTGCCCTAGGGCTCAATGCTATACAAACAATGCTAGCAAACACCAATTCTAAGCATAAGGAGAGACATCATCTAACATGGCGATCCCCTGCACCAAACCAACGATGGATCATGTTGACATCAGTCAATGTTGGAGAGGGTCGATAGACTATTGTCAATCATTCTAGAATATAGTGAAAATTCCCATTTCGCCATTTGGTAAATAAAGAAGGAACGAACGTTCATTCTAGAACACCTGTTTGGACTCCAACCATGCTCTAATACGGGCACGCATTTGCTTGTGCCTCTCTGGACGCAGGAAAACCACACTAGAAGACCCATTAGAGTCGAACTCAGTGACGAGGAAGCCAGGAGTAGATTTCAGGAACAACTGAGGTCACACTTAGGAAGTTCTGAAAACGAGGCTGACCCAGATGTTGCTTGGAGAGAAATACGAACTGTGGAAACAGCAGCGACATGTGTTAGTGATTTGAATTGAGGGGTTACGATAAACCAATGGATTTCTACTAAGTCTATTGCATTGATAGATTCTCGTAAACTCATCCCATCAAGTTCTGAACACGATGAAGAGCGAAAAAAAGTCAGGTCCAGGTTAACCAAAAGTCTAAGGAACAACCGTGAGGAGTGGTGGGCAACGAAAGCCAAAGAGATGAGAAAGGCAGCGGCTGTAGGTACACAAGACAGCTTTTCAGACTAATAAAAGAATTGTGAAACAATCTCAGAAAAAAGCGACACTCATCTGCTCTCAGTCCAGATGTTTAGAACGATAGGCGGAACATTTTAAGGAGCAATTCGGTTGACATTCGACTACCAACCATTTCCAAACAGCCTGAGTGGAACATTGAAACAAGCCCTCCGACTTTAATTGAAACTCAAAAAAGTATTGCTGAGCTGAAACGGAGAAGAGCAGTTGGGTCACATGGATTGGCTCCGGAGGTTTTTAAGAATGGTGGTCCAGTTTTAGCGATCAAATTTACTAATATTTCAGCTTAAATCTGGGAGTTGAACGTGATCCCATCTGACTGGTCGCAATCACTGATCGTCCCAAATGACCTGGTATGGCCGAGTGGTGTGGGCCCGTCCTCCCTCTCGAAATGCTCTCACACGGCCACACGTATACAGACTCAGCCAGGGAAGTCCTACTCACTGCCTTCTCGTGACGTGGGTGTTGTTTATGAAAATGAAAGAACGATAAGCGAATGTCCGGCGCTTTAACCGGATCCCAAACCAAATCAATGGTGCACATGGGCTCCAGTATCCTGCGGGAACAAATGGCGTATGAACTAGTCTTTGGTCACCGGCTTCCATGGGACTGCATCTCCTCACGATGCCCCACTGCCTTGTGGGTCAGACCTTTTAGGCCAAAGGCTCGAGGTGTTGCCCCCTAATATAACCACCTGATTCGGTCTGGGCACCCGGGCAGTATCACAGCCCACACACAAATATAATGAAAATGATGATATTTACTGAGGACTCTATTATCGATTCGGTTTTCAATCAAAAAGTCCTTATTATTATTATTATTATTATTATTATTATTATTATTATTATTATTATTATTATTATTATTATTATTTATACGTCATTTATTCACTCTCTTTTATTTCCACTCTGTGTATCCTTATTTTTCGACTTATACAGCAGCCCACCTATGGTGGGAATTCGGCTCTATCTAAACGTTCTCGAGTCACTGACTGGTTGAAAATTGAAACCGAATACGAATACTGAAACAGTTTTTCTGAAACCACGTGCACCATTCAAACTGGCTGCCTTCAACGTTCGTACACTTATGCAGGTCGGACAACAGATAGGGCTGGTTGTGTCTTTGGAAAGTCTTAATATCGACGTTTGTTGTCCTTCCGAGACCCGTATTCAAGACTCTGGTGAAGTACTACAAATTCGCTTAGCATCTGTCGCTTCAAAAAGCTTGTTTTACGTGCGTTTATCCGGAGACCCTGTTTCATCTTCGTCTGGTCTTGCTGAAGTTGGTGTCGCACTAAGCACTAGAGCTGAGGCAGCACTAATCGATTGGATCCCCATTAACAGTCGGTTATGTGCTGTTAGATTAGAAAGTTCCATCAAAGTGAGAAGAAATCGGTGTGAGAAACGATGTCTTTTCATCATCTCCGTCTATGCCCCGACAGATTGCAGCCCGGATGCAATCAAGGATGAGTTTTACCACCAGTTATCTGTTCTTCTCCAGAAAGTGCGTTCGACAGATATGCTAGTACTAGCCGGAGACTTGAATGCTCAGGTCGAGCGTATAGACACAGAAGAGAGTCGTTTAGGTGGCCGATGGGAACTTGTTGGTCGCAGGACAGGTAACGGAGACCGTCTACTGCAACTGTGCACAGACCACAACCTGTTTCTGGCTGGCACTAACTTCCGGCACAGTCATCGCCGATGTGCCACCTGGCGCTCTCCCTCTGCATCTCAAGCCTGGACTCAGATTGATCACATCGCGATCAGCTACCGTTGGCGTGGTTATGTACAAGACTGCCGCTCCTTTTGGAGTACCTATCTGGACTCTGATCATGCCTTGGTCTGCGCCAATCTTACCTTACTTCTCAGTGGCCAACGAAGTGACCGCCACCAAAGGATTGATGTTAGCCCGCTGGTTGCAACTTCTGTTGCAAGTAAGTATCGAACCGAGCTAGCTTCTAGGCTAGCTACCATTGCACCGAAAAGTATAGATTAGCATTGGTCGCAATTGCATGACGCCATGAAAATCGCGAGTAAACTCAGTTGTGGGTTCGCGAAACGTCCCGCTTACAAGCACTGGGTTTCTGCAGGTTCCTTACAACTCATCGAAGCCCGTCGGTCTACTCCGGGTGACCGTGAGTTTGACCATAAACGAAGGATGTTATGTAAGGAAATCGGACAAAGCTTGCGTAAGTACCGAAAAGCCTGGTGGTCGGAGCGTGCTAATGAGCTGGAAGCAGCAGCTGCATCTGGTAATTACCGGAAGCTCTTCCAACTCATCCGAGCCACTGGCAGCAAGAAGTCTGGTGTGAACGGAACAATCTGTGAGGATGATGGGATGCCAATCACTAACATCCATTGACGTCTTGGACGATGGGCAGAATTCTTCGAAGGGCAGTTCAACTGGCCTGTTACTCCGGCAACATCGGTCAAACTGTTCTGCCCTTCATGGCCGGTGACGACTGATCGACCAAATGAAGCGGAAGTCCTCAAGGAACTCCAAGTCTTGAAGCGTTACAAATCATCGGGCCCATATGACTTACTCCTGGCTCTTTTTAAAGATGGTGGTGACTTTCTGACTAAAGAACTGCCGAGTGAGTGTACCAACGCCATAGAATGAGTCGATAGTTGTCCCTATCTTTAAAAATGGTTCACGTCGTTCCTGTAACCACCATCAGGGGATAAGTCTACTTCCGATCGCGTCCAAGCTATTGGCTTCTTTCATACTTCGTAGGTTGTTCAAAACCCGAGGAAGATTGACTCGCAAGGAGCAGGCTGGGTTTTGTTCTGGTCGAGGATGTATTGATCATAACTTTACCCACCGCCAAATGTTAGAACACCGTCATATTTATCAAAGGCCAACAATTGCAGTGTTTCTTGACATCAGGGCTGCCTTCGATTCGTTGGACAGGACTGTTCTCTGGGATTGTCTATTGAAGAAGGGTGTGCCTGAGAAGTTTATTAACATCCTTTATATGCTTTATATGCAAACACCTCGGGTAGAGTGAGGGCGTACAACCACCTTTCTCCATTGTTCCACTCGAGCAGTGAGGTTAGGCAGGGTT